ATCCTTCCTATATGACTTTAAGAATGTGGCAGAGAGCAAAGCATAGCTGGCATTTACAATAAAAAATGTGCCTTCCATAATTCTATTAACATGAAAGAAGATTTTCTTTCCATTTCTCTAATCTAGTTTGAAAAGCATATTATTCCAAGGGTGGAGCGGGGGAGAGAGCGGCTAGCACACAGCTTCAGCGACAACCAAAAGTTAAACAAATGAACCAGAAATAATGGGAAGTTCACATGTGAATTGAATTACTACCTGGACCTGTAAGAAAGAATTGTTCTGCAGAAATTATTTGAATTGCATTTTATATTAAATATTTGTAGCAGGTCCATTATAAATATTGTTGGTTATCAAATATGAAATCTACAAGAGCAGTTATTTGGTGAAAATGTATAAAATTACATTTAGCACTAATACAACATTAAGCAACAGAAGTCTAAATGCACAAAGGTGAAACATACAGGTGAGTAGTTACACAGATGCTTCAGAGGCTAAGGAGAAGCTAAGGATCACAATAGCTCAGGGACTAAACAGAGGGAGGTTCAAGCAGCAGAATGGATAAAAGACTCCTGGAGAAAGAATTTGAGAAGGTGGATCAGAAATGTGGCATTTGCGGACTCAGTTAATGGGGAGGAAGGAGAATATCAAGTTTGCTCTTATTCTTAGAGGAAAAAGGAAAGAGAAGCAAAAATGAGTAGGGGGGTGGGGCAGAGGAGAAGGAGGAAAACATTCCGCTTTGAGACTGGTTACTTTCCAGGCAAAATACAGTCTATGTATAGGTCATTATATTTTACTCTGTCACATAGTGTCTTTTCAGGAGAATAAACAGTTTATTTGCAGTTGTACAACACACATTAATATTCAGTCATGGCTGTGAGTTTCTATATAGAATCCTTCAAATAAATATTGATTTTTTTCCCCTCTAATTTATGTGAACGTAACAATTAATACATAACTACAAGAGTTTAAAATGGCAAAAGTATATGTGAGGATTTTTTAACAGTTTTCACCCACTTCCTTGAATAACAACTGCATGTGTCCAGATGCATTGATTCAGAGTCCGTTCTTATTCTGCCCCAGAGCAGAATGCGTGCCCATGGTAATTTTAAGGAAGAAGTCTATATAAGTAGTGGTCTTATTTAAATTATAAAATAACCCAAAGAGGGCTGAATAGAAGCATGAGTGTACATGCTTGTGAAGCTTTTTCTTACATGATAGCTGTTCACTGGAGAATGAGAATGAATAATGGTATTCTCACATTCAATAAATCGGTTCGTTCAATGTAATCAGAGCAAGATCAGTTGACTTCATTGACAAAAATAAGTCTCTGTTCGTTTTTACTAGCTGAGCAGTTCCAGCACAGCTAAGGGTATGTTTACACAGAAAATGAGTGTGATTGTAGTGCAGGTAGGCATACCCACACTAGCTTTAACCTAGCTATCAGAGGTAACACTAGTCAGGAAGACATGGTGGAATGGACTTCAGTGTGGGCTAGTAACCTGAATAAATAGCTAGAGTCCCCAATGGGCTTGTACTGGGGCAACTAGCCTGCACTGAAGCCCATGTCATCATGTCTTCACTACTATTATTACCCACTCTAGCTAGATTAAAGCTAGATGCCTATCCACCTTCATTTACTGTGTACAGATACTCTAAGACGTTAAATGGAAGCAGTTAATCAACATGGCAGAAGTGAATTGATGCAACACAAAATTCAGAGCCCAGGAGGAGGTGGGAATGAAGGTGGGTTTAAATCATCTTTGTACCCTCCAAATCATGGGCTGTTCTGGGTGCTGGAGAGGGCCCTGATGTAACATTGGAGAAAGTCCAGAGAAGAGCAACGAAACTCATGAAAGGTCTACAACAGATGAGCTCTGAAGAAAGATTAAAAAAAATTGGGTTTGTTCAGTCTGGAAAAGAGAAGACTGAGGGGGGACATGATACGTCTTCAAGTACAGGTTGTTATGAAGAGGAGGGTGGTAAATTGTTCTCCTTAACCTCTGAGGACAGGATGAGAAGTAATGGGTTTAAATTGCAGCAAGGGAGGTTTAAGGTAGACATTAGGAAAATCTACCTGTCAAGGTAGTTAAGCACTGGAACAAATTGCCTAGGGAGGTTGTGGAATCTCCATCATTGGAGGTTTTTAAGAAGCGGTTAGACAAACACCTGTCAGGGATGGTCTAGATAATACTTAGTCCTGCCGGGGACTGGATTAGATGACCTAGTTATGTCCCTTCCAGTTCTACATTTCTATGGTTCTGTGATTCCAAGGAATCCCTATCTAGGTTGCAGTAGGCTCCCTGGGCTGCTCTGTGGGCCACACCAGTGCCTGGAATCTCCTCAATGCTGTGTGCTGTGGCCCTACCCTTAGCATGTCCCTCCAAACCCCTACACTAGACTTTGTGAGGGGGTCCTCAGAGGGCACCCTTATGTCTGTCTTTACCGTGCCTGAGGTGTGGGAATCATCCTCTGGCCAGATATGGAGCTTTTAGGGTCCATTTCATTTTACATGGTATAAAAGGGCACAAAAGAGGATGTCATCCATTATGCCTTTCAGATGGATAACTCCTCCATACACCATGGCTAAGGTGATGGATTTTCTTCCCTACCCAACATATCATAGTCTCTTAGGAACCATAATTGAGTAGTTATTGTTTAAGTGACTTGCCCAAGGTCACATAGCAAGTCAGTGGCACAAGCTGGACTTGAACCCAGATCTGACTCCTAGTGCTTTGTTCTAAATACCAGACCACACCATTGCATGATATTGAAGATTAACTTGGAAGATAACTAAATACTTTGTTTTTCCCCAGCTGAAGTTTTTGTTTACTCACAGGTGTATGGGCCATTGTCAGCTGTAGTGAAGCCCATCACAGTATATTTCTGTTCAAAGCGAATCACTATATTACAGAGCCATAATGTAATGTTTCTTCTGTAATTGATAACTCCTGCATAGGAATAGAAGTGTTACATCTACAATCACCCCAGTGCACACTATATGAATCAGATCCTGCAGTCCCATTGAGTTCCATGGCAAAATTCCCATGCACTTCAAAGAGAGCGGGATTTGGCCCTTATGTGTCTTTTAATTTTTTTCTCCCAAAACTTTAAAATAATTAATCAGGTGTGCAGAGTTCAAATGCTAGCAAGGTGCATACTGACTACAGATAAGATACAACCTGCATTTGCAAGAGAACTTTCTTCCTGCATGATACAAATAATAAAGGCTCAACTTCTCAGTTCTGCTCAGGCAAGACCCATTGGCTTCAGAGGGAGTTTGTAAAGACCTTTTAAAAGCTGAATGAGGAAGTCAGGAGTTGGCCCAGTGATCGAAGTTTATGGATGAGCCAGCAAATCGGATTCACATAGAATCAGTTTTATTGCCAGGTAAGAAATTCATATTAATATAGTGAATACATATGTTTACAAATAAACATTCTTAAAAAACAAACAAACATTTTAATCATAGGAAGTATTATTGGTATCATAAACTCTGTAGTTGTTAACAAGTATTAACACGGGTTTACTTACAGAACATACAGTTACTAAAATATTTCCACATAAAATATGCTAAAGTTACACAAAAATCTGTGTGGATAAGAGTGCAGCTGAAGTGTGTATCTAAAGCATATGGATTAACAGCAACATTCCATAAAGGGTCAAATTAGGTTAGCCAGTTGTGAAGGCAATAAAGGTTAAAGGAATGAAGTGAGATACTGGAGAACTTGGAGTGTGTGCAAAGTATTAGTCCATGGGCTTTGTCTACTTCTCATAGACTTAAAATAGATGATCATACAATTTAGAAGCACACTTATAGAGTGATGCCTGTATTGTCAGGATGCAAATCAAGCTTGAGATGGCTGGATAAGTGATCTGTCCTTTAGCCTCTTTTAAACTTCTCTGCTCTTGCATCCTTGCAAAAATCTAAGAAGAAATACTGCCTGAATCAGCTGAATACAGTTAAGAAATCCCACCTTTGATTCACTTTACAGCATAGAATTCTCAGACTCATGGAGCCAATCATGTCCTGATACATTATGAAACTAAACTAAACTTAAGGAGAATTGACAGCCAGTGAGAATGTAAATTTTATTGGGATGGTTAGTTTATGACTTGGCCAAATGACTTCTTTTTTGGGAGGGCAGGGATTTTAGTGCATGATGAAAGTGAAATGCAGATTGCACTGCCTGGTGTCAGGCTGTTGCCACACAGTCTTAGTCTCACAATTATTCACTTCACTGCTGATGTACACACGTTTTACCATTCCAGGACTGCAGGCTGCTAACTGTCCAGAATTTGGCAGTGGTTTTATTGATATGAAAAATGTATCCAAGTAATCAGAACCATGGTAAGGCGAGACTGAGTCTGATTTTTAAACCCAGACCTTTGTGATGTCTGAGGCTAGTGCAGTAGTCCCCTTTATCAAATAGCCCACCAAGAGGGGGGACACCACTAACAAAAAGCAAACAAAGAAAAGACAATATGCCATGTAACATTTAATTGAACTTTGAAGGAGAACTACTGTGCCTAAAAGCAAATATAGAATGAAAGACTATAGGGGATTTTAGGTAGGAAAATTATGGTTTACCATGGGGGTGAGGGGCTAACTAAATATTCCTGACCTTGCAACCACTACACGGAGATGAAACATGAATATTCATTCTTGACAACAAAAGAGGGCAGAGAGGCTGATGGGGATGGAACCCTTCTAATACTTTAATAAAACATGAGGAAATAAGCTTAAAAGAACACGGGTTTCACTTTGAGAAACAAGACTGTCATTGAACAATAGCAATACAGTAAAGGCACCACCCACGCTTATTTATTTTCAGTCCGAAGCAGTTGAATATAGGCAAAACATTTAGGTGAAGAAAAAGTCTTGACAGTCCGCAAAGTGAGAGTTGTTACCTTCTGCCTGGAAAACAGGACTGAGGGGGAGTGGTTTTCTGCCCACTGCCCTCGCCTTCCCGCACTCCCACCCCACATTCTGTCATATGATATGTCTCTTATTTTGGAGGTTCAAAAAACTTTTAAACTAAACCAAAAATAAACTAAAATAAAAGCGTCTTGTGTTTGTTGTTGTCCTTCTGGACTCTTTGCCAGCCAGAAAGTTCTCATATGTTTTTAATTGTAACAGTCTTCGTTGGATTCACATGAAAGAGTCTTTTGTCTATTTTATTTTATTGGGGTTTTTTTTGCGCTTCATATAGTGATGGCATGAAAGTACAATAATGTTAGGGCTGGTACCAAGTTATTTGCACTTGGGTTTTCACAGGTCTAGTGATTATTATTAGAATTTATACAAAATTCCTGACCAAAACAATGTATTACAGTATATTGTTCTCTCTCACTAGCTCTCTGTCTCAAGGCAGGAACATAGTGTAATGGTTTAAGCAGACATAAAGTTTCTCTAGATTGTGCTACTTCTCATCATGGATTTCAGTTTCAAGTAAAAAAAAATTAGTCACAAGGGTTTGTTTTCCAGTGTGAAATACAAATGGTGTTTCTAATTCAACCTTCAGTGTATTGCTGAATGGTATTAGCCCACTCTTTGCCTTACAATTGGCTTCATAGCAGGAATGTCCAAGTGGAAGTTCCTTTCTTTCTTGATGTCGTTTTTTTTTTTTGTTTTGTTTGTTTGTTTGTTTTTTGCCTCTTTCAGTTGTGTGTGGGGTTTTTTTTTTTTGTTTTTGTTTTTAAGGGATCTTTTTTTCTCAAAAGCAATCTCAAACAGTCACTTCTGTCTTGCTGTTAGTTATGAAATATGGCTGTGGGGGTAGATAGTGCTGGCTCCGAGTTGTCAGTGGGTCACTTGCTGCTGGTTCTCCTGTGCCGTGCTTTCCCTTGTTTGCATATGTCTGCCGTCGGAGGGACTGGACACTGGGGTCCCAGGTTTTGAAGTTGGAGTTGTAAGCTAAGGGGTGTGTGTGCATCTTTGAGACTTTGGATTTCTGCCCATTCTGTCTGGTTGTGCCATTGTCAGGCGTGTACGTTCTGTCTTCTTCTCTGCGCACTGGGTGCAGTGGCAGGCTCCCCTTGGCAGCCAGTTCTGCAAGGTGTCGGCGTTTGGAATAGAAGTCGTCGTTGACCTTGTCAGCTATTTGATTTCAAAAAGAGGAGGGGAAAAAAGAAAAGGTCAGTTGAGTGCAGGAAAATATTAAACATCAATGCAGAGTTTATAGTCCATCATGTCGATTACATCTAGATCAGCTAGAAAAACAAATCTTTCTAGATGGGAATAAAAATCCATTCTTAAAATGGTTTTGGTAGAAAGATTCAATTATCTTTTCCTTAGATCTTTATGGATAGCAGCAGCCCAGGTATTAGTGGCTTCAGTATAATATTTCAACAGATTTAAACTGGCCATGCAAATGTCCACCTATACCATACATTTCTGAAAACCAAAAGACACCACTTTTAATTCTCATTAAGAGCCTGTGCCAAAGCTCATAGAACTCAATGTGAATCTTTCCATTGACTTCAGTGGGCTCTGGATCAAGCTCTAAATATGCCAGGCTCTGCAGGTGTCACCCAGGTACCATTCTCACTGTGTATGTTGTTTGTTATCCCTTTAAAAAAAAAAGCTGTTGTCTTTCCACATTTTGAGACTCTGGATCAATATTGCCCATCCCATAGAGAGGCAACCTGAAAACTCTCCATAACTAACCTTGCAGAATTTACCAAATCATCTCACAAAGGAAGGGAGTTGGGGAACTGGCAGAGGTGAAGTCTCCCAACCCCATGAATCCCAGCGATTCATGAAGGGACGCCTTAGTCCTGCAGAGGAGGTGCTGTTCACTACAATGATGCTTAGGTAACAGAGCTTTCACAGAGAACCCCTGTAGTAGTACCCACAAAGGGAATCTAGCAGGAATCTATACTGATTCAAACTACAGTATGTGAAGTATCAGAGGGGTAGCCGTGTTAGTCTGAATCTGTAAAAAGCAACAGAGGGTCCTGTGGCACCTTTAAGAC